ACATTTTTTATTTATATTTATATTTACTTTTACTTCTATATATATATATATGCTCACTTGTTTATATGCATGTATGTATGTATATATATATACTAATAATAATAATAAGGACATTTACACGGAGAGAATTGCTTTGCCAAAGTGTAGTAAAGAATCAGATAGCTTGGATAGGACCTCCAGGCGTCTTCAAGAGCGACTGCTTTCTGGGACCATCATAGGGTGCTCGTGATGTCATGAAGCCATCGACCTGGTGCCGTCGTCTCATCATCTTCTCCATCGAGTCGCGCCGCATCTGCTTAACTGTTGCAGCAGAGCCAGCGAGAGGTAAAGCTCGCATGAAGATGAAAGTCATTAAGGCGAACAGCTGCAGTCGACTGTCGCATAAATTGAAAAGCGGCCCCTTCTTGCCAAGCACCTGGCTCCGCCGTCTTGCCGACTCATGATTGGTTGTAGCAAGGTCCAGCAAGGTGAGATGTGGCAGCGACCAAGCTCGACTGGCAACCCTGTTTCCCCAGTCGCAGCTTTGCTTGTGTATCCCGGTCCTTGCACGCTCTATGGTCCATATGGTCCTTCTGAATATCCCAGATAGGGAGAACTGTATGACAACTGTACTTCTATCTCAGCTACACTGGCTACTCATTCTTCTGACAAGAAACAAGAAGAAGAGAATTTCAAGACGGAACCCGTCAAAATACATGTGTGCAGCTGTACGCGTATACACATATATACACGTGTATCTGCAAGGGGAGAGAGAGAGAGAGAGAGAGAGGCAGAGAGAAGAAAAAAAAGATAATAACACATACTATGTGCGTGTGTGCCTGTATGTGTATATCACATATGTATGGGCGTGTCAACATCGCTGCATGTGCATGTGTTTTTGTTATATGGAACTACACGCACTGCATACTTGAGTGAGCTTGTACATTCCAGTACTTGTCAACAGAGAAGGAAGACATCTCCGAAACACAGGTTCTACCTGCCATGAACAGATCGGAAGTCGGCCTGTCGCGCTTCTGACGTCTTCGATCCGCGTCTCTCGTTGGAAAGGAAAGGATACCTCCGCCGGTTCTGCTAAACAAGATCTGCTATTCATATGCGGTGAGTGTGAAAGGAGCCAGAAGGCCCAAAAGTCACGTCCAGGTGTGACAACAAGTGCGTGCCGCCGCATGCTCCGGACCCCCCGAGAGCTGGGCCTGTAGAGGGTTTCCAGGGTTTAGGGGTTTTTAGGGTTTTGGGTTTTGGGCTTCAGGGTTTGGGATTTTTGGGGTGTAAGATTCAGGGGTTTCAAGGTTCGGATCTCTGCCATGGTTCGTGCCGGGCCCCCGGGCAGTGGCGCCGACGATACGGGCGGCTGCTCTACCTGCGATTTATTTATTCATTTATATGTATGTATGTGTATATATATTAATAATAATAATAGTAATAATAATAGTAATAATAATAATACTTATTAATAATAAGAATAGTAATAATAATAATAATACTGGGCGGAGCTGGAGGTTGAGAAGCTTCTCTTGACTCGCGGAGTCATGGGCACAAGCACAGCGAGAGTCTTATACCGTCCTTGCCGCCACGATCCTTAAGAGTCCAGCCCTCTGCCGACCAAACAGCATCGAACTTCTAGCAATGCAAGTTGACACTGCAACACCGCAAGCATTACGCTTCAACCTCGTGCATAACCTCATGCTCCACGTAACATCGCGTGCCTTTTCATCGCTCGCCAGCGACAGGCAGTGCAGCGGGCGACTCGAGCTGGAGGCCTCCCCTCTGTCGTCCGGAATTTGCTGGCCTTCGCCCCTTGGTTCAAGGCTCCGCATGGGCTGAAACGTCAAAACCGCAAACCAAAATCGCAGACGAACACACCTGACATGCTGCATGAGGTCTGTCTTTGAAGGATTTACGAGCCATCACAGAACTAAACTTCACAGTTGAAGAACCTGACCCGAGGAATTCCGAGTAGGGTCCGCACACGTTCTCGCCGGCTGAGGATGCCTGATCGCGCAAAGACTCTTCGGGTGCTTCATGCGTCTTATTGTCGCATCGGCAAGGCAGGGATTCCACAGTTGTCGTGGGAGGCTTCTGCGGTACCTGATGCTACAAGCAGCTTCATGATCTTCATGCTTACCATGACACGTTGAAGCTTCCCAGGTGCTAAGGCTTCTGTGTGACCCTTTGCTACAGGAAGTCGTTGCAGCAACGAGGCAGCCACTCTCAACAAAGCAATAAGCACTGAAGAGCATGGGCAATAGTTGTCTCTCGGCTCGCGGCGGTGATCCCCATCACGTACTGCTAGAGGCCTGTCACTCGTGCGATGTTGCGGGTCGCTGGGCTAGTCATGGGCCGAAAGCCCGTGGGTCCGGAGTAAGCAGTTCTGCAGCCGAAGCAATGCGACCCGATTCACGCACCGAAGGCACCTCGTACATCTTTAGATGGCAGCCGAGGTCCGCAGGTGCACGTGTTGGCAACCGCTAGCCAGGGTAGAGGGCTGAGGGCTGAGAGTTGGGCTGAAGGGTAGCATGTGGCGATGTAGGGGCGGGTAAGGTGCAGTGCCTTGCTGCCATTAACTGACATCTCTCGCAGTCAACCCGCAAGTGCCGTTCACGGTCGTGGATAGTACGTGGAAAAGACTTGGGAGCCATGTGAAAGCTTCACTTCTTCGGAGTTGGAGCCAGATCTCGGACGAACACAGCATAGCTTACCGAGCAGTAGCCCCGAGTCGTGGTGGGACTTTGCCGTATGGTGTCAACCTGCGAAGCTGAGGGCATGAAACCCAAGCAGCATGTTTTGGTCGGATCCTTGCTTAGTCTGTGCGCTGCTGTGCTTTGAAAGCCACATGATGCCTCAATGATGCTCAGGCCTGATGCAGACGAACGAATTCAAGCTTGCTGCACCAACACCAATGGCTGTGCATCATGCCTGTCCCACCATGATGAAGCTATCATGCCGAAACAATGACTGTCCCGAGCCACCCTCAAAGCTCTTGTGGAGAGTGGTGAGAAAGTGCTGCTCTTATGATTAAAACACCATGGTCAGGTGCCATCCACGACCACAGCTTCACGCAGCGGCACTGCCGGCGCTGCCACTGAACGCAACCAAATCGTCGAAGAACTCACGCTTCTTGAATTTCGAGTCCTCCAGAACTGCGGTCGTAGCATCAGACGAGAAGTCAGAGGTATATTCCACATACCTTGGCAGTTCTCTGTCGTGAGATTTGTGGCCATGCGCCGTGACAAGACAAGCCACAAGAAATCGGTATTGAAAGCCTGCCGGAAGAGGGTCTGCGCTGGACAATGCAAGACTTCCGACAATTTGTGGGCAAGTGCGAAGCTCTGAGACTCTGAATACTTCGACACGCAATGCCAAGCACATGTGGCACGCGGTGAACAGAAGCAGCGTCATGTTATGGGCCGGTGCGCTACAAGTAGCGACTGGGACGTCAGCTCGAAACGAGCATTGTCAGATAAATACTTCGCTCGCGTAAGCTGCAAGGCAAATCAAGGGGATTCGCCAGTGCATCGATGCTGTTGCTTCGACTAACGGTCGTTAAGCAAGACTTCCTCGAGATGGCCACCTGGCCGGACGATTGAGCTTGCGCACCCATGTTCATGCTCGACGCCATCTACAGTTGAGGTTTCTCTGCCTGTTGGTCGAGCTTAATGCTTCTAGCAGTTCGCCTTGCCCCGACCGTGATTAGGCCCAGCACAGATGTCTAGGATCACTGTATGATATGAAGGTTCAACTGTCGATGGCCAAGATGCACTGCAGGGCGGTCGCCATGTGTGACGGCGCTGAGTGAGATCGTGTCGTTGCGGGCAGAGTATTCTACCGGAGGATCCGAAGATACCATTTCCTTATGCACTTCGAATCTCCAACGTACAGGTCCGGTGCAAGCAGAGATTTCGAGGCTAAGTACGATCAATGGCATGCGAAAGGTGAAGTGTCTGACAATCTTAACTTCATGAAACCACCTCCAGGGATCCATGCCAATGCTGCGCTTCAGCGGCAGCCGTTCCGAGATCTCCGTAATGCGCAGTGTCTGCACCGTGTTGTCCGTGTACGCGATAGTATGCTGGCCCAAGGCGCCCACATCGCTCCCTGCAAAGACTCCAGAGTCTACAGCAGTTCCACCCTAGCGATGCATCACTACAACTCTTCACGCAAGCCACGACTTGTAACTGTGCGCTTCACACGACTGCAAGGCTTGAGCATAAAACTTCAACACCCGCTGCCTTCCTCACACTTGGCCTGCACGACCTGCTTGAAGAACTTGAATTGCATGGACTTGATCAAGCCCCAGACCTCACCACCGCAAGCTCTAAAGTACTGTTGGCTTGGGGTCCACAACGGCAACTGGCACTGGCCCTTTCCAAGATGTGCCAAGACACGACATGAAGATCTCCAGGCACCACCTGGGCGCACGCAGGTGTCCGCTCTTCAGAGGGGGGGACGCTGTGGATCTGATTGGCCTACAGCGACACACTACGCAGACAGAAGACATGAAGATGGCGTAAGATAGGGTCGACACCAACTCATGTCTACAAACGGAACAGACTAAACCTGGACTGGCCACGGCTGACTCTGCAACATGTCCAGGATGGACGGCCATGGCGGTATTGCGGGCTTTGCGGTGTTTCAGGTCTGGGATGGCAGCCTGATCATAGAAGCGGCAAAGGAGCGCCTTCGTCCATACATCGATTGAGGCCTATGCAGACAGGAAAGGGCGAGCTGTTGTCGTCGTTTGCTGCCTGGGATGCCCATGCTCTGAGTAAGCGTCGGTTTTTGACTGGCTTGCATTCAGCGTGGCACCTGTGGTGCATGCCTGTTCGAAAAAGTTCTGTCGCTGAACACAACCAGTCAATCGAGTGTGAGACAGAGATATGAACATGTGAAGCCATCGTTGAAGGTTCATGGGTAGTTCCAAACATTGCAACCTCCTTTTGATGCACTGGACACATTTCATAACTACCCATGGAACTTCGATGAACTTCACGTGCTGGCTGTCATCGGATCTTCGCAACTGGGCACCAGCCGCGGTTGGCACTCTCCTTCTGCACTGCTCCAGGGGCATCAGGACAGAGCACCAATTAGCAGCACGGGCAGTAATAATAGTAGTAATACATGTAACAACAGCCATAAGGCGAAGAAAAAGAAATGAAGAATTGAATGGTCATGAGAAGAATGATAAGACGAGCAGCAATGTATGGTTCTGGTAAATGCTCATACCAACGGCGAGGATAACATCATGATGCGAAATATGCATATGCATTCCATCCAAGACCCAGGAGCTTAAAACCCTATTCAGGTCCGCAGCAGATCGCTCGCGAGCTGTACAGGCTTCCCGCACCCTGAAATGGCCGTGCTGGTCTCGCACCAAAAACCCCCAAACTCTAAAGCCTACAAACCCGAGACCCTAAACCGCGCATGCACCAAACTCCCTGGGCTAACCCTAAACCCTAAACCCCTAAGCCCTAAACCCCTAAACCTTAAGCCCCTAAGCCCTAAACCCTAGGACTGGTAGAGCGGAAGCTCCCAGCGGCCGGATCGCATCCGCCGCCTCACTGTCAGCCCCGCAGCCAGGCAAAGCACCACCAGCGAGGCCAAAAGCAGCGTCTGCTTCAGGGGCCTCAAATTACATCATGATGACTAAAATTACGAACCTGGTTAAGTAACCTTGGGTCTTTATTAGGGCTCTTAATATGATCCTAATACTTTGGAGTTATAGGACCTGAGTTTATTAATCGGGTTCCTACATTACTACTGTTACTGCTACTGTTGATCAACCGTAGTACTGTATTATTGTTACTATTCTGAGTGTTCTTACTGCCTACTCTTGTTAGTAGTACTAGTCGTGATTAGTGTGCGCATGCCGAACTTTCGTTAAGATTGCCCCTACTATCCAATAATATTCTGGTTCTTCCTACTTATACTGATAAACAGTGGTGTTATCCAAAACAGGACATCACCGGCACCATATTCTATATACATTCGATAATGTCAAACATAACCGCCAGTATCGTAGGTGCTAGTGGCTCGTCAGTGATGCAGCCATCGGATTCACAGCTGATGATGGATTTTGTAGATATTCAGCCCGCTGGTGCTGCAATGAATAAACAGCTTTGCACACGGGGCTCCACATGAAGAGAGAGTATTCCACTGGAAACCCATATAACACAACAGAAGATGTAGGGCAATTTGATTGCACCTGATGCTGAGCCAGCCCCCATAAACAGGCCAGCGTTCGACCCTGCATAAAGGACG